GTAGGTCTTTAGCTGACACTCTGGGATTCTTCTTTACCTCATGCAGCATTCTGCGCTGTGCTCTTGCAGTCATTTTTACAGGACGACCATGCCTAGGGAGAGTAGCAACAGTACTAAACTTTCTCCATTTGTAGACAGTCTGTCTTACCGTGGACACATGAACATCAAGGCTTTTGGAGATACTTTTGTAACCCTTTCCAGCTTCATGCAAGTCAACAATTCTTGATCATAGGTCTTCTGAGAGCTCTTTCCTGCGAGGCATGGTTCACATCAGACAGTGCTTCTTGAAACCAGTAAACCCAAAACAGGTGTGTGTTTTTTAAGGGCAGGACAGCTGTCAGCAACACATCCAATATCATCACACTGATTGGAGTCAAGGTTGGCTCGCTCTTGGCTCCAATTAGCTCTGGGAGAAGTCATTAAGCTAGGGCCTCACATACTTTTTCCTCCCTGCACTGTAAATGTTTACGTTTTATGTGCAATTAAACCACGGCAACATCTAATGTTTGTGTAGTATTATGTTCAGTATGTGTTCTTCTATTGTTGTGACTTAGATGACGTTCAGAGCACATTTTATGCCCAATTCATGCAAAACTCCACGTAATCCCAAGGGGTTCACATACTTTTTCTTGCAACTGTATATATATATATACACATATATATGGGTGGAACATGTAACATGTTCTGAAAGGTGAAGGTGAAGAAAATAAACCCTAGTATGAGAAAATAATGGGGCTTTTAAGGTACCATACCATTACGGGTATACAGATCATAAACAATATTGGATAAAATAGAGCATATTTTGTTATGAAATTATAAAAAAAAAAAAAAAAAACACAGAGAGTGGTAAACAAGACAAACGCCAATGTAGGCACATACATAATGAGTCAACAAAAATATAAAGAGATAATAGTGGGCAAAGACTCTGGCTCGGGACGAGAGAATGTCCCAAGCCAGAGTCTTTGCCCACTATTATCTCTTTATATTTTTGTTGACTCATTATGAATGTGCCTACATTGGCGTTTGTCTTGCTTACCACTCTGTGGGGTTTTTATTATAATGTCATAATAAAATATGCTCTATTTTATACAATAATATTTATGATTATGCATCTTTATACCCATAATGGTATGGTACGTTAAGAGCCTCATTATTTTCTCCTACTAGGGTTTATTTTCTTTACTGTTCCAATAGGGTGTGGTACCTGTAAAACCTTCCTACAAGGGCAGATGAGACCTAGTATCTCTCCAGCTCCCATCAATCTCCAATTGCCATATTATTTTAAGTGTTGTGAAATCTATTCCCGAAACCGTTTTCAGAATTTAAGCCTGTCTGTTAAGAGCAGGGGCGGACTGACCATTTGGAAACTCAGGCATTGCCTGAGGGCCCGGGATCAGTAGGGGGCCCCATGAGATGCCCCTGGTACCTTTTTCATAGGCTTTTTTGAGTTTGGGAAGGACACAGGGGCCCATGATCCCCTATTGCCTGGGGGCCTCATGAGTTGTCAGTCCGCCCCTGGTTAAGAGATTAGCTTTGCACACTTGAAATTTTACTTTTTTTTCAATTAGATCCTGCCACTTATGCTTGAATTTAAATAATTTTTGTTTTTACAAAAAGCAGTACTCCATTTTTATTAAATACTTTTCCCAAACATACATCCTTTGATTCCTTCAGAAGCTGACTACTGGTCCTTCTCTGAGTTGAATGATGGCCAGCATCTTTCAATCCACTTCATAGCGACCAGTATGTCAGATACACACCTTGGGGTTTCATCATCACTCAGCCTGGGCTCATAGTACTAGTCTCAGCAAAGCTCACATGCCATTATCTAATTACTTGTCCAGGAGGAAGCACAGCCTGCTGCTGGAGGCAAAGACCAAGGACCTTTGCCACTGGATCAGCCAGAAGAATGCAAGATTAAAGGTACGTATAAACCAAAAAAAAAAAAGTGGGGGGACTCTTTGATTTTGCTTTAAATGATGTAGAGCAATCATCCTAGGGGCTATGTACATGGACTTTTGTTTGGGGCAAGGCAGGTCTCACCCCTTTTTTTGTTTTTGTTTTTTCAATGGGCAGGCATTTATTTTTTTGTGTTGGTAGTAGTAGTAAGTCACATTCCAACTGCACAAGACCAGCCAAAAATAACTACTGGATTTACCCATAGCTAAATATAGCACTTATAGGAGGCCAACAGTCAGTCATGTGCCACCATCATAAACAAACAAGACATGTTGAGGTTGGGGTCTGAATAGCTCAAGAGAGACAGTGTACCCACCCTTTAGCATTACTAGAACTGACAGAAGGTTAGAGCAAAGTGTTGCCTACCCTGGTACATGTTCAGTTCAAAGTGCATGGGAGCAGAATATATAAACTGTATACAAAGCACATTATACCACATAACAAAAATGCACAGAATGTGCTGGGACCATTGAGGACCCTGCAGAATTGCACTGGCAGGCTTGGTGGCCGTGCAGAACATATTGTTATAATGGAAATATGTGTGGGAAACCATGTGCTATGTTGGCTGTTCAGGAAGCCAGCCTTGGCTATACTAGACCTAGATAAATGGGAATCTTCTGATTACAAATATACATGAAGGAAATTATATAATTGCTGCTAAGCAGTATAACTCATCTACTTCTGTATTTGTTTTCCACTTTAAAACAAATGAGGAGGACCATTTCAATACATAGTTATTGGTAGTTCTAAAGGAGAGTGTACAGGTAAATTGTTGAATGTTTATGAGTGCATATACTGTATGTGTTCCTTAATCCTTAAAAAAAAACATTCGAGGCAAAGGCATAACTAGAATCTTCAGGGCCACAGTGCAAGAAACCATGAAGGGCCCCCCTGACTCCTAGCTAGGACCCTTTCTCTCCTGGCACAGGGCATCTCCCACTGATACCGGGGCCCTTTACTCCCATCTCGGAGTCCTTTATTATGGTCCTACTGACCTTTTCACGTGTTCTGAAGTTGGCCTTGGGGCCCCATGTGGTGGCGGAACACCAGGCCCCAGTCGCAAGTGAGACCTTTGGGACCCTGGTAGTTCTGCCACTGGTGTCAGTAGTTTTTTATCTTTATTATTATTTTTAAAATTATTTTTACAATGTCATTTTATTTTTTTTTTTCTTTTACAATTTGCTTTTTTATTATTTGTTTACATTTTTTATACGAGCCCCATTGGGGGGGCTTTGGTGAGATATCAGAGGTCTAAACAGATGTTCCAAGACAGGGAAAGAGGTTGAGGACATACAGTAGCCCTCATTCTCCATCTATGTAACCTAAGCTGCATAGAATGAATGAACAGGAATAGCTCTTTACAGAGCTTCCTATTCATTCACAAACTGAAGCATAGTAAGCACAGTTTATTATGCGTCAGTTATGAATGAACTGAGTTAGTGATCGTGATCGGTACCGATCACTGACTCTTTCCATTCATAAAAGGAAGGGGCCGGTAAACTACATATTTACCAGACCCTTCCACATTCTCCTTCCTGAAAGCATACCCACAGCAGCCGGGGGGGGGGGGGGGGGAAGCCAGCAGAGCTGAGGGGGATGAGGGGGGGGCCAGTAGAGTACACAGGGGCATGGAGGCAGGAAGACCTGGATAGGAGGGACGGCGGGGGGAGCATATAGAGGAACCAATCTCCTCCATTTTCTTCCTGCAGCACCTGAATGCCCATAAGAAGGAGACGAGGAGAAGTGGGCTTTCATCAGCTGCAGGAGGAAAATGGAGGGAATTGGTTCCTCTATATGCCACCCCCCACCACCCCTCCTATCCAGGTGCACAGGGGAACTGCACAGGCCCTCTGGAGCATGAGACCAGATCGCAATTGCGACCACTGTAGTTATGCCCCAGAACTGGGCCTTGTTGCCACTTTTATCTGAAGCTATTGTTGATAAAAAAATATATATAGCCGAGTATATGTATACAGCTCTACCAGTACTGCTGTTGGGTTCATTTGCTAATGTGATATGTTTTGCATATTGGATGCACTGTATGTATTGTTATTAACCTTTTATCATACACATTTAGCATTTTTTCTATACTGGTGTGTATCTATAAATATATGGTTGTTATATGCTGGGTGCACTCATTTTTCTGTTCCCAAAAGCTTTGCTTAGATTACTAGTTAATTTCCCAGGAAGAGATTCCCCTCTGCTTCCCGGGTTCTATCATGGGTGGAGGCACTGTCACATTTACTATCAAACCCACTCTTCCACTTAGCAAAGATTCTGGTTCTCTTTTTTACTATCAGGTTTAGCCCCACAGCCTGCTTGCGGAGGACCATTGCTGATAACTCTCTACAAAAGCAAAGTTTGAACTCTTCTTCTCCTTATAGAATACATGGTTATAAGGCTTTTAGTCTGATCTAACTGCCTAATTAGGCTGCAAGGGCTATTTCATCCATATTGCAATGACATAATGTCACTGTCAAGCATCATTGTTCTTTAAAGTCTGATCCATTGTTATTATTTATCCCGCTGTCCCCATGGACAATCAATGTCTGATGTAAAAAAATGTGCAGAGGATTCACTTCAGGGCATTTGTTGACATCTCATTACACTCTTTTCCCTATTTTGCTTACAGAGTTTACAGGAAAACATTTTGACCCAGATATGAGCAGTGTCTATAAGGAATTATAACACCACTAGACCTTGATTAGAACCCATCTTTTGAAAATAATATGTTTATATTAGATATACTGTCATTTGGTGATCCTGCATTAACAAATAGAGGAAGAAATATTTAATAAACCAGCCTGTATAAACAAAAATCTGTCGAGTGAAAATATGAATAACCAAGCTATTAGTAAGTGGAAATGAATGGTATTTAAAGTGGGAAGTGAAAATGAATGGTATTTAAAGTGGTTGTAAACCACATACATGAAATATGAACAAAGCATATCCCTCTATAGCAGGGGTATTGAATTAAAATTCAAGGAGGTCCGGTCACTAAAATTTTCCTCTGGCTGAGGTCCAAATAGGGTGTGTCCATCAGTGTTCCCCCTTACATTAGGTGTCGCCATCAGAGTGCAACTTTACATCATGTATTCCCGTCACATCAGTTGTCCCCATCAGACTGCCCCTTTACATCAGGTATCCCCATCACAGTGCCACCTTACATCGGGTATTCCCGTCAGAGTGCCCCCTTACACTCAAAGTACCCCTTTACATCATATTTCCCATCTGAGTGCCCCTTTACATCATATTTCCCATCAGAGTGCCCCTTTCCATCACATGTGCCAATCAGACTGCCCCTTTCCATCACAGGTGCCCATCAGAGTGCCCCATGGGCAGATGACAACTCATGGGGCCCCCGGGCAATAGGAAATCATGGGGCCCCAGTGTCGTCACCCACACTAAAACCACACCCAAAAAAGCCTATGAAAGGTACCAGGGGCATCTCATGGGACCCCCTACTGATCCCGGGCCCTCGGGCAGTGCCTGAGTGGCTAAATGGTCAGTCCGCCCCTGTAGTGCCCCTTTCCACATTATGTGCCCATTTGGGCTCCTTACCATAACATGTGCCCATCATAACATGTGCCCACCCTTAACATAAAAGATGCCCATCAGAGTGCCCCTTAACATAAAATGTGCCCATCAGAGTGTCCCTTAACATAAAATGTACCCATCAGAGTGCCCCTTAACATAAAATAAGGGCATGCTGATGGGCACATTTTTATTAAAGGACACTCTGATGGGCACATTTATATTAAGGGGCACTCTGATGAGCACATTTATAAGGGGCACTCTGATGAGCACATTTATATTAAGGGGCACTCTGATGGGTACATTTTATGTTAAGGAGCACTCTGATGGGCACATTTTATGTTGTGCCCATCAGAGTGTACCTTAACATTAAAAGTGCCCATCTTCATAACCCTTTAACATTAAATGTACCCATCAGAGTGCCCCTGTAAGACTACACCCTATCTTGAAGGCAGACAGGAGCTATCCTTGCTGAAGAATGCTTGTGTACAGGCAGGGAGCGGGAGCCAGAGAGACAGTGAACTGCAAAGGGCAGGGGTGCACACGTGATGTCATCGGTTGCCGTGGCGACTGCCCTGCTCAGCGGCGGATCTGTCGTTGCAGACTGGCAGTCCAGAAGGGAGCTCTGCTGGGGCTGTTCTCGGACCACGGTCCGCCATTTAGTGACTGCTGCTTTGTAGTGTGTACTTTATCCAGGGCACTAAGTGTCATTCCTCTCTGCTGCCTCACTCATCTGCTTTCAGGGTGAGTCACTTCTGACAAATTTTCTTGACTCCAAGAGAAAAAAGGTGCCAGCGAACAGGACCTCCAGCATATAGCCTGTGATTGACAGCCTCAACTCTGTTGCTATGTGCTATGTGAAGGTGGGTGTGTCCCTTTGCTCCAATCAGCTCTCAGAGCTATCCTCAATGATGTAACTTTATCTCCTCACCCTCCGCTTTTCAGAGCTGAGTGATCCTGTGTAAATTCTGCACTTTGAAAGGATGTAGGTGAAAGACGCCCAGATAAACAGGTACAACTTATGTAGGAGGATGTGTTTCATCTCTGTGTTTCACCTGAGGCTAGTCACTTAATTTGGTATGTAGGGGTTTACAACCACTTTAAAGCCCCAACCTAGCTCAGCTGTAGCCTTTTGCTATATGATCCTATGCTGCCTCTTATCAGATGACGTGATGTAGGTGATGTAGGTGAAGTTGCAATGAACTTTGAAAGAGTGACAATCATTCAACCCAGTGAATACACTTACTCTTCTGTGATTGACTGTAGCATGTTTAGTATAGTAATGAGTATAGTAAGTGTAGGAAAAAACTTTTTATAGTTTTGGATAGAGTGGAGAATGGTGATACCCTCTGTAAAGTTTTAACTGCTGTCTCCATTGGAGACATTCACCCCTCTAGTCGCAAAGATGACCTCAGTACCCAAGAAAGAATATGAGGGGAGTAGGCCAAGACCAGGTCCAGACCAAGAGGGGATGTAACAAAGAGCTAGCCTTCTTAGGAGGACTTTTTGTGCAATATGATGTCCACACAAATTTAATTCAGTATATATTAAAAATATATGTATTTATTAAAGTAATATACAAAATCTCTTTAAAAAAGGACTAAGAATCCAAACAAACATATAAAGGCAACCATACAAATAAAGACAATGATCAATGTATTGTATAGCTCAAAGGAACCTATGAAAAAAAGCGTGATGAACAGCATCTGATGCATTTCAAGAGAATATCTTTTCTGCAGGGGTATGCTCTTTACTGTTCACAGTTCTCTTCTATAGATGTGAAATAAAATATACATACATCAGATATAATGTTTCATACATAGTCATAAAATACAACAAAATACATTTCATTAACCATAGCACCTACTGACCTAACTTGAGCTGTTTTGTAATATGCAAGAGGTCACCACAAGTAAAACACATAATGCCAAAATGATGCTGCCACCCATAAATGTCAACAGCGCAAGTTGGCCCAGAGTCCCCAGCATCCAGTCATACTTAGGTCACCCATATGGAGAGGAGAGCACCAAAAAGACAAAAAAAAATGTACTGCAAAGAATAGGATCGATATTTTTAAACAAACTGAATAGAATGATTTAATATGAAAAAAAATGTGTGTATTAAAATAGGAAGGCACACCAGACATAATAAAAAATATATACGATCCATAACTACAAAAGACCAAAAAAGCTTACAAAATAGGTTATATCCAATTGAATGGTACAGACTCAAGGCCAGCAATAATAAGCTGATGTCAGTCTTTGAGGATTTTCTTTAACAAAATATAAGCCATGAGTTGCCTGAAAAGAGCAGAGTGAAGAGAATAAAGTAATGATTGTATTGTGATGGAAAGGCAGGGTAAGAAAGAGGCATGCTATAATGTAAACACAGGAGCAATAACATACTATGCAGGGATTCACAAGTGTGTTCGCTGGCAGGCATCACAATCAAACACTGCAAGAGGGGAGATTATGTACAGCCAGCCGGATTGAAAACTGGCCAATGCACATTTTGTGCCCCATCCAATGTCAATTTGTGCCTGGTTGAGTGGTAAAGTTTGGTTATGAGCTCTGACCCACTGGCCACCTACACTGAACATGTATTGTCCTGGTTCCATTACATTGAACACATTTTGGTTGTCTGGGACAGCCTCATCAATAAACTGTCCAGTTTTGATAAAGCACTAAACATTAATGAGTTTAGCTTAAGGTTCATTATGACTTAAAGCTTCGAAAAGCTACCTTTTCCTCAATATACAAATGATGAAAGACAAGGATGGCTATCTTACCAGTAATCTCTTTCATAAATCTACTGCTGGCAATTCCATCCTACATGCCACAATCTTCGATCCCAGATCTTTTATTATATCCATCCCATATAGCCTGTATTTAGGACTACGTTTCAAGTGCTCTGAAATAAGTACATTTAAAGTGGAAGCTAAGAAACTTAGGGAACGCCTTTTACAAAGAGGCTATTTGCATATTTGCTTAAAAAAAGCCTACAGACATGCAATTCAACCCACACAATAGGATCTTCTATTTAAAAATAGACAGAGAGAAGGTGAGAACTCATTACAAATTATTACTAGATTTTCCAATCAACACACTAAAATCTAAAAAAATATACAAACACATTGGCACCTTCTTGACCCTATTGCTTGCCACCTAGTCCCTAAAAAGCCACTGTTTAAATGAGCAAGATTTGTTAAAGGCAATCTGGTTCAAAGTGAATTTAAAGAAACAGACAAACAAAATCCTTGCAAACATTCAGGCACCTATAGATGTGGTGGCTGTGGATATTGTCAATACATGAACACCAACAAATCCATATTGTTACCTAATGGAGAAACATTTATGCCTAGACACTACACAAATTGCAAAAGTAAAGGTGTAGTTTACCTCCTCCAATGGGAGTGTGGAGACTACTACGTAGGCAAAATTAAATTAGAGCTTTGGCGATGACATCTAATCCAGAACTACCATTGTGTAGACATGTGGACAACATTCACAAAGGGATTTTTTCCCAAAATACAATTTTTGATTTTCGATTGCATACATCCAAGCCAAAGAGGAGGAGATTGGAATAAATTCCTCCTCCAACATGAACAGAGATGGATCTATAGGCCTAACCCCACTGTATTTCCAGGTCTAAATGAAGCCATATCTTTCAGACCATTTCTTGATGGTTTCTCTTCAAGGGGATGTGAAGAGTAAAATAAAACAATTCTATAATGGCTCTTATTTAATCAACCTTTTTTGTCACATTCCTCCTGCCTTTGTCGTATTTCTATAATGGAACATAGTTTTCTTATTTCTTATTTAGTGGTTGTGTAAAAAAATGTGCTTTATATATAAATGCTTTGTATCTGTTTTTCTTCAAATGTATTGTTAGATTTCCAGAGTTATGAAAAAACTCTATTAATATTTCTAGGTTCTTGTAGATGGTTGTGGGAAGAAATCCTTATGGAAGCCAGGTCAGTATAAGCAGTGTGACTTTATTTGATCACACACCAAAAATACAAAGTCAATAAAAAACAGTAAAATTCAGTAAAATTCAGATACAGTTGCAAGAAAAAGTATGTGAACCCCTTGGGATTACGTGGAGTTTTGCATGAATTGGGCATAAAATGTGCTCTGAACGTCATCTAAGTCACAACAATAGAAGAACACAGTCTACTGAACATAATACTACACAAACATTAGATGTTGCCGTGGTTTAATTGCACATAAAACGTAAACATTTACAGTGCAGGGAGGAAAAAGTATGTGAGGCCCTAGCTTAATGACTTCTCCCAGAGCTAATTGGAGCCAAGAGTGAGCCAACCTTGACTCCAATCAGTGTGATGATATTGGATGTGTTGCTGACAGCTGTCCTGCCCTTAAAAAACACACACCTGTTTTGGGTTTACTGGTTTCAAGAAGCACTGTCTGATGTGAACCATGCCTCGCAGGAAAGAGCTCTCAGAAGACCTATGATCAAGAATTGTTGACTTGCATGAAGCTGGAAAGGGTTACAAAAGTATCTCCAAAAGCCTTGATGTTCATGTGTCCACGGTAAGACAGATGTCTACAAATGGAGAAAGTTTAGTACTGTTGCTACTCTCCCTAGGCATGGTCGTCCTGTAAAAATGACTGCAAGAGCACAGCGCAGAATGCTGCATGAGGTAAAGAAGAATCCCAGAGTGTCAGCTAAAGACCTACAGAAATCTCTGGCACATGCTAACATTTTTGTTGACACATCTACAATAAGGAAAAACATTAAACAAGAATAGAGTACATGGGAGGACACCACGGAGGAAGCCATTGCTGTCCAAAAAGAATATTGCAGCACGTTTGAAGTTTGCAAAAGAGCACCTGGATGTTCCACAGCACTACTGGCAAAATATACTGCGGACAGATGAAACCAAGATTGAGTTGTTTGGGAACAACACACAACACTATGTGTGGAGAAAAAAAGGCACAGCACACCAACATCAAAACCTCACCCCACTGTAAAACATGGCGGAGGAAGCATCATGGTTTGGGGCTGCTTTGCTGCCTCAGGGCCTGGACGGATTGTTGTCATTGATGGGAAAATGAATTCCAGAGTTTATAAAGACATTTTGCAGGAAAACGTACAACCATCTGTCCGCCAACTGAAGCTCCGCAGAGGATGGGTGAT